TATGAACAGAGTGAGATAGAAATACAATTAAAAGGAAATACTAAAATTATCGATGTATTTTCAACAAACTGCGTATATATACAAACAGCTGTAATTGCACCAAATTATAAATCTATCTATCTATATATATATATATATATATATATATATATATATATATATATATATATATATATATATATATATATATATATATATATATATATTATTAGCTGCATTTGCAATTGTTTGTATATACAAGCATACAAACATATCAATTGTATATATTTTATATGTGTGTGTATGTACCTACAGAATATTGCAATTACTAAAAATAACAAGTATTCATACGCAAAATTATATATATATATATATATATATATATATATATATATATATATATATATATATATATATAATATAAAAATAAACAAATAAAATAAGTTAAATATAAATAAACAAACAAATGAGGCAAAATTGTATTGCGTTTCTATTAATGTGACGAAATGAATTTATATTCATTTAGCAACATTTTAAATGGACTTTGAAATCAATATTTTGTAATAAAATAAAGTAAATCAAAATTGGATGAAGAAGCCAGAGTGCGACAAATAATTATTTACCTACAATAAATGTTAATTCATTTTATGTCACTAAGTAAAAATAGAAGTATTCTAAAAAACCGGAAAAAATAATTATCCAAAAAAAACTATTTTAAAAATGTCAAAAATGAAAAACCCAAAAAAAAAAAAACAATATACAAAAAAAAAAAAAAAATGGAAAAAAAAAACGACACAAAATCAATCAAATCGACAGATTTTGAGAGTTCACTGTACCTTTGCGTGTTGCTTATGAAATTTGGTTACAGAAACGCCAACCACAAAGCGAGCAGAACACAAACACGTATAGTACCAAGTAGTATGAGTTTTTGGGGGTCGTTCGTTCGACAGTCAGCGCGCCGTCTGTCTACCAGGCATAACACGGTGGGCAAGGCTTATCTAGTCACCGTAGCAACACACGTGGCCCGCACAGGACGTCGCCATCACCTGCCTACGTCACACAGACCCCGGCTTCGGAACCAATAGAGAGCGGCGCTCTTTTTCAGTAGGGAAATTGGCAGGATATCCGGGAGTAGATTAAGCGACTGTGCACTTCATTCTCGCTTCATGAATTTTTTAAAAGGTGGAGCAGAGGGAGGAGTAGTAGGAGGAGATATAGAGAAAGAAAGAAAGAAAGAAAGAGAGTGAGTGAGTGATAGAGAGAGAGAGAGAGAGAGAGGGAGGGAGAGAGGGGGGATATGTAGCAAATAGTAATGATAAAAAATAGAGGGTGAGAGAAAAGGTAAAAGAGGTGGAGATAAGTAAAGGACGATACAGTTGGTGGGAAGAGCCATGAAGAAGGATTGTGAGAGGAGGCGGGTAGGAAATAAATGGAGAGTTAATGAATAGACAAACAGAAAGACAGAGAGAGAGAGAGAGAGAGAGAGAGAGAGAGAGAAAGAAGGAAAAGGAAGACTGAAGTAAAGAGGTAGCGTTGTGAAATTATTAAAGAGAAAGTGAGAGGAAAAAACAGAAAAAATGCACAAAAAGAAGGGAGGAAAAGGTTAAAGGAAAATAAAAGTACATATATATATATATATATATATATATATATGGAGAGATAGATAGATAGATAGATAGATAGATAGATAGATAGATTGATATAGAGAGAATATGAAACTTGAAAATAGATGAAAATTGGAATATGTATATATAGAGAGATACAGTGTTAGAGAGAGATGATATTAATATAAAAAAAGGAGAAAATGGATGGGAAGAAGGAGAAAGAGAAAGAAGAACGCAGAGAAAAAGAGAAAGAAAGAAGCAGGGAGAAAGAGAAGAAGGTTTGGAATATAAATCGGTAAGAACGTTACATCGAAGAAGCAGCAAGGAAAGAAGAAAAAGAAAAAAAAACAAACTCGAGAGAAAAGGACCGAAAGCGAAACACGGAATAAGAAAAAGAGGCGAGAAAAAGACATTTACAATGGGAAAGCGGGAAAAGGAAAAATAGAAAAAAAAAAGAAGAAAATTAAAAATGGGGAGAAATATGAAAGAAAAAAAGGAAAGAGAAAAGTGAAAGAAAAATTAAAAAGACAAAACGAAGGAGTGAATGTCTGGTAAGAAAATGACTGGAAAAAAAGAAGAAAAAGTGTAAATTTGGATGAAAGAAAGAAGAAAAGAAAGATGGTGGAATTAGACGAGAATGAACGATATGAAACGAGAATCAAAAAAAAAAAAAAAAAAAACTGAAAGAAAAAGACGAAACGAAAAAAAAAAGATGGCGTTTTCATTTTTCTTGAAGAATGGCAGCTGCTTCGTCAGTTTGTCTTGATCAAAAAATCTTCTACATATTTCTTCTTCTTCTTCTTCTTCTTCTTCTTCTTCTTCTTGAGACCATTTGTCCCAGTCACCCGTCCCTCTGACCCTTCTTCCCCCCAACCTCCTCGCCAACGGTTCTGGATTCGGTGTACCTCCCATTTCATTCATTCATTCATTTAATCGACTCTGGCCTCCCTAAACCCATCTCTTCTTTCACTTTTTGATAGCTCCTCCCTAAAGTCTCCCTTGCCCCTCACTTCACTTCCTCTCTGTACAGTACATCTACTTTTCTCTTTTTATCCCACCCTAATTACGATCAGTTCCACCCCGTCTTTTATGTAGCCTACCACTAACTTTACACTTGCTTCACCTCTGAATTATTGTCTAACATTTACCTCCGTCAACACTACTACTACTACTACTACTACTACTACGCAAAAGCAACAACAATTACGACTATAATAAAAGAAATTATACCTATAAAATTGTTACAGCGATAATGCTAATGGTAATATTAGCTGTTTCCTTATAAGGAAATATTTGGCATTTACTGACCAAGCAGCCAGTGTTATTACTTTCGGTTCAAATTTAAAAAAAAATCTCTTTCTCTTAAAACAATTTTTCAGAAAATTAGGTTTCTCAAGTTCACTGTTCTTTCCGGTATTGATAGGGGTTGGGGGGTGGCGGGGTTCCGTCCTAACTTTTTTGTCCGAATTTGTGGTTATGCCATTATTTTATCTTCTAATTTCAATTGTGCTTGTCTCTCCCTTCTTTAGTTCGCACAACCGTTACGCCCTGCCAATGCCTCATAAATAATGGACTATTCTGTTTTGATAGCGTGAAAAGACAATCATATAAGAGACGCTATTCGGTTTCAGTAAAAAAAACAACAACAAAAAACGAAAGAAATAAAGATAGAAGTATTTAACGTCTCCTGATAATCTCTGATAAATAATGGACCATTCCGTTTTGGTCGCGTGAGAATATAAAAGACATCAAAGACTCTATTAATTTCAGTCAGAAAATGTAAGACAGAAGTTTTTAACGACTAATTCAGAAAAATGGAAAATGTTGTAAATTTCAAATCTTTTCATTTGTATTCTTAAAATAACGATCAGCATTCATATTTATGATTGTTATTGCAATATTTTGTTAAAGTTGTTAAGCTCAAATAATTAACGATGCGAGAGAAAAATTTCTACGGATATTTTAGTGTGGCCCAACTCGCCACGTGCTTATTCAATCATTAACTGAAGCATTAAGATTCTACAGAAATTAATCAAATAAGAAAATTGTGAAATTTTCACAGGTTAGATTCTGCATAATAATTATGAATTCAACAGAAAAATAAAGTTACATTTAACAACTATTATTTAGAATCTTTAATTAATCTTAATTAATAATTATCAAAGATATTTAAATTAATAGAAGGACCTTTTATAATAATTAAAAATGACTAAAAATATTTGAATTAAGACTGAGAAATCGAAAACAGAACAAATTACATAGATGCTGGCGTCTGCGAGGATACAGAGAAAATTGATTGATTGGTTTTCTACAGCTTATCAATTCTTTGAAGGTTATTTAAATTGATATGTCCTGGAAAGGGATATATTTGTTCGAAGTAGCAAAATGGTTTTGGACTACTGTAACCGGGTAGGACAATCTAGCAGGTAACCGTAATGGACTGGTCCTCGTCGTAGAGGTAGACAATAGGCGTAGGCAATAAGCGAAGACAATAGGCGTCGTCCCTGTACCTCCACATCAGTCTGTATTTATGGCTGACACCAGCCGATCATATTACTGTGAGGGGGATCCCAGGTGTATGCATATTCATTACATCATAAATCTAGAAAATACTTTTAGATTTTAAGAATTTTTTTAGATAATCATGATTTAGTGACACAAGCCTTACTAACTAACCCATAGCTGGAGGGGAATAGGTGGATTCGCACCTTTCCAAACAGTATTTGAGCGTAAGTGAATATAACGAACCCAACTGGAATTGGAACTCCGCTCTCCATTATCCATTACACCACCCGCACATCCAAGCTTACTTTCTGTTCTCAAGCGGTCAGCCATCTAGGTACTGACCGGGCTCGACGTTGCTTAACTTTGGTGATAGTACGAGAACCTATGTTTCAACGTGATGCAGCCATAAGCCTTGGAGATTTGAGGAGACTTGCTGTCAGTCAGTCTTCAGTGATGACCACATGATGTGAACGTGGAAATGCATGTGATAATGATAATAATAATGTTTAACATATTGTTAGTTGCTACAATCAGCTGGCAAAAAGATGAATATAAATGATGCCATGGCAAAGTAACCCTCAAAATATATTTTGGAAACTATGCAGCAAGTATGGCCTCGAGTGCGCAGATGTGGTATGAGCATTTACTATCGCCAAAATGAGGAAGAGAAGCTCATATGAGATACGATCGTCTTGACTGACAAGCGCTTGGAGAGAAATCGCCCTGACATGACACATGTGCAGCCATGAATGAATCTTGATAGACTTTGCAGTACCTTCTAGAGGAAATGGGAGAAATGTACCGAGCTGCAGCTCAAACAGCTATTTTCAGGAATCTTTTTGCCTCTTTGATATCTGACATCAATGGGTGCGCTTAGGCTACAGCTCTGCTTGGAACACGCTCATGTGGTGAGGAAAGTATTGTGTCTCTAGTTAGTGGGTAGGATCTAAGATGTCATCATCCCCTGGCCGAAACATCAAGGAGAGGGTATCAAATATAATCATAATAATGATCACAAAGGAGAAGAAGGTGATTGAGAATAGCGAAATGAAAATCCTGGTAGACAAAAATAGATTTAGAGTACAATAAACCAAATTTAGTCCTGTTGGACAAATAGAAAAAGTTTTGCTCCCCGAGAAGTCTCCTGATCCTTTGACGTGATAAGTGAATTAAAAAAAAAAAAAAAGCACAAGATCGACAACTACAATGATTTAAAGAAAGTAATTACAGTATCAGTGATCACTGGAGCACTTGGATTGTTGTAGAAAAATATGTAGAATTTCTTTTCAGATATTGGCTTGAGATTTGGAAATACCGACGTTACAAAAAGCTTGCCTGCTCGGAGCAGCGAGGGTAGTTCGGAAATTATTAAAAACATATTAGAAATAATCGCTTTATTTTCTTAAGTTAGAAATGGTGGCCTGAAAATAAACTTTTCACCAACAACCAACATTATATCCTGCGAATAATAATAATAATAATAACGGAAAGGAAAATGTAAGAAATTGGTATGAACCCTACCCAGACCCGGTTGCAGACAAAGGACCTGTAACAATTTCACGGGACTTTACAATACACACAGACAGAAGAATCACAGCTAATCACCCAGAAATCGTGACCACAAAAAACAAAATGTGCCTTATTAATATGACAGTCCCTGCAGACAGTAAGGTATCTTTAATGATCTTTAAAAAACTGTCAAAATACAAGTATCTTGAATTAGTAATGTAAGAAAAATGTGGCACATGAGGGCATCAGTAATTCCAGTTGTGGTTGGAGCTCTCGAATTGATTGGAAAAGGTTCCGATAGACTCCATTGAAGGGATTCCTGGTAGCCCATTCTCACAAGTACACTCACACTTTATGAAGGGCTTTATCTATATAAAATCTGGGTGATCTTAGGTTGTTTTATTTTTATTTTTATTTACAAAAGTGTTCAGTGGAAAATGTTGTGATGCAATTTCTGACCTGAGGTCTCCGGTTGGGGCCCGGAAGGAAATGAGTAAACAACAAAAAGTTAAGGAAGTAATAATAATAATAATAAAAAAATCATGTCCTAATATTACACCAGGCATGGCTATCACGAATTCTATTCTTAATTGATTGATAATGTAATATTTGCTTGATGGATTAAGATGAACTACATATCCTGTTCAGTATCAAAGATTTGCTTTACAGTTACTTCACGTAAACAGTCGGGCATGTTCCCTAGAGGCTGAGACAATGAATCTCTAATCATGAGTAGTGTAGGAGTATCAAGGCTGGGTGTCGAGAGGATGAGGCTAGTCTTGGGAGTGACAATGAAATACTTACGAACACCCTCAATCGGAGACCGTCTGAGCAGGGACTTCTTTGCCCGACCTGAAAGCATTTCTAACTGGTCCCCATCTGGAAGATTATGCGCTGCAACTTTTATGGGAATAAAACTATAAAAGAATGATCCGAACACAACCCAGGCCCATTTACAGTCATAAGACTTTACAATAAAGACAATGAAAGTTAACCGCGCAGACAGTAATCAAAGACCACCAAAACAGACTGTGTTTTCTTATTGACCTTGCAGTTACTAAGCTTAACTTAAAAAAGTCACCATTCCCAACGAGCAGACACGATGAACGGTTGTGCTCTTAATGACATTCCTTGTTTGGAACGTATTTTGGGTCTCAACTTCAGCCTAGATCTTGTTTATACGATATATCACTAAAGATGGTTTAAAAAAAATACCCAGCTCCTTGTGGCACTCGAGGAAGTATCCGACTCCTCCTGCCATGCTCTATCATTACAAAACGTTTGTTACATTTCACTTACGCGCAAATACCATAGGGAAAAGCATGAATCCATCTCTCCTCTCCGAGCTATGGATTGAATAACTGGACAGACTGGGTTCTATAGCCTTGGTTGGCAACCAGTCTATCGCAAAAAGAAACAACCTACTGCAGGACAATCTTCTGCTTAGTCAATCATGAATTGAAAAGAACATGATCGCCCAAGCGTGTATCCCGTATGACACTTAACTGACTAAATATACAATGGCAAAAGGTGCAACAATTAAAGAAAATAAATGATCCTAGTAGGAAACCATAATGTCGCTCAGCGAACAAGAAAGGCAGAAATAGTTAGAAGTAGATACCATGAAGCAGATAAGCAGACAACGAATGGATTCAATAAAAGAAGACTCCCAGAAGAAGAAGAAAAATAATTAGAGTTTATCTTTGGTCGTGCAAATTTTGTTGTATTGCCTCGGAACCAGAAATTAGAAAGCCGAGTTCGAATTCCAGTCGGGTTTGTTAGGTTCAATTACGCGCAATTACTCTTGGGAAATGTATAAATGCATCTCTTCTCCCCCAGCTATGCGTTGAACACAAGGACAGGGCTTGATTCTAAATCTTTTGATAGTAATCAGTCTAACCCA